AAGACTACCAATGGAATCAAACCAAACCACGAGCGGCTCAATATGGCGTACGATCCCCACCAAAATTGTTATTTGCTGCGGTTCTAAGAATAGCAGCAAATTATTGGTTGTCTTTATACTAGGCTGTTAAGTAAGACTTAAGAGCTGCTAAATTTTACTTAACCAAAAATGCGTGTTTGAAGGCCTAAGTAAAATCTCAAGTAACTTTACTTTGCATCTTATTAATAAGTCGGAAAGTTGAAACGATTCAAGAAAATTTCAAGTAACTTGAAAACCATCCTTAAAACCGACTTGGCGAACTTGCGGTTTCTAAGCTTTGAGAAAGGCGAAGCATGCCAATCAATCTTAATTATGTTGCGTGAGAAAATAGGCTTAAGTAAACCTGAAGTAAAAAAGATAGGTTGTGTGTGAAGCTTTTTTTAACTTGAAGAATTCAAAATTTACTTGTCTTGAAATATTTCTTAGTTTATTGAGGCTCTAGTGTAAAGACTACCATTGTTTTCACGGTTCCGACTTAATGACAGCTGTCACGGAGACTCAAGTATAAAGGGCGAGATTTTACTGAGGTGATTATTCTATAAAGCTGACATCGCTGCCTGATTGAATGCGTTTGTCCATGCTTTTTTGTTTTTGTGTCATTTGAATTGATTGTATTTCGTTGTTGATGTATTTAAAATTTTCTATTCTAGTTCAACCTCTCTCCCTCGAGGTTTTGCTTTCGGGAGGGTTCAGTTTTCTTCCTTAGCTAAGGGGGTTTTAGACTGCGAGTAGTCTCTCTTTTTCTTCAGATTTAGTGAGAGCAATGCACGCGCGCGGGAGCGGCGAAGCCGCGAGACGCGCGAAACGAGGGCGGCAGCCCGAGAAGAAAACATTTGCGGGTCTCGCGTTTTGCTCGACGGACTACAGAAAAAAGAGAGACTGGTCGTAGTCTAAGGGGGTTTTTCCTGACGGGCAGCAGACACCATATCATCTGTATTGCATTATCGATCAAAGAACTTTACGTAGAGCTTGTTACATTTTTCCTGCTTCACTACCTTTGCAGTATCTAAGTGTTTGTATTTGTATAAATAAACGGGGACTGATGTTCGCATTACGCTGGGCTTCTATCCAGTGCAGCAGTCAGTTTTCCTATTTATGAGCCAATGTCTGTAATTTTCGAAAATCGGTTGACAGTCGTGAATTTTTGAATTTCTTCATATTTTGCCTAAATAATCTCTATAGTACACTAATTTCAAAAATCACGTTAAAACTTGTAACAGCTTTTTATTCTGTTTTCCAGGAATCAGGCAAAGTTTGAAAAACTCTAAATCGGCGCTCTTTCGAGTATAAAATCAGAGAAAATTGAGCATTTTCTTCGCGCTTGTACAAAAACTGGACAATATCCCTAGATGAAGTCAAGTCACAAAACAGACACACACTTTTACTGTATAATTCAGCAATTAACTTTAAAGGGAACCTCCACTTCAACAAAAAGATAACTTTAAATCACAGGAAATAACTGTTACAGTCAAGTCAATCTAAAATATTTTTAAAGAAAGCGTTTGTATCCGAAAGAAATAACTTTTAGATTCGCCTATTTTTGTTTTCAAATTTTGCGGGCGTCGCCATCTTGAATAATTGTGACGTGTAATGGTTGCCCTATTGTTATTAAACAAAAGCTCTTTGTGTCAGAACAATAGAGCAACCGTAACACGTCACAATTATTCAAGATGGCGGCGCCCGCGAAATTTGAAAGTGAAAATAAGCGATTTTAAAATTCACTTTTCCTGATATAAACACTTTTTTTAAGACAAATTTCGAACAAATTTGTTTATCAACATAATTTTATTCGATTTAAACTTATTCTGTAGTAAGAGTGGAGGTTCCCTTTAAATAAACCGTTTAAATGTGATTGTACCGGTTGCAGGAAGAAACACGGTTTCAGCACTTTTCAAAAATGGCGAATTTGACCTAAATTCACCATCGTAAAAACCCAGTTGGCACATGAAATTTCAGTATGAAACAAAAACTGTATTGAAGCATATCCTTTGCTGTTTTTTGTGTTAAAATATCTCTGGCGGCATTCCAAACGCACCCCGTTGAGAGACGATCTGAAGGGTATTTTCTGACACCAGGAAAGCGCATCAGCAAGCAAGTTTCGACGCTTGGAATATTAATCCTCTATCGAAAACATAAGTTACTTTGACATTTAAACTCTAGTCAGAGTTGTAACGGTTTTAGATTGTATTTCGGCGTTTCTGTTCGGTTTAACATGATTCCTTTCAACTGATTTTTGCGATAAACCATAATGAAGCGACACGAAGACGCTGTTCAAATCAGTTAGTAGAGGGAAATATTGTCGAAATACGCGCTTGCTATAGTTTTAGTCGCATTGAGACCCTAGAATCAGAAAACTTATTTACTTACCTGAACTTAAATGCTAGACGGGTCACTACCGCTAACTAAATTCTGCACCACGTCAGAATCAAAGATGGTTTTCATAGTGACGTCATCAAATTGTAAGGTCAAAATAGCGAGGTTTTACGAATTCTTATTTACACTAGGTTGAAGATAAGCAAAAAGTAAATCATTGTACAAGTTTCCATTCCTGTAGCATGTTTCATTTCGAAAATACAGCAATTTGAACTTCCGAGTTTTCACAGTGCGTGACGCCAAAATTGGAATGCTGTCTCGTTGAAAAAAAGTCTCTCCTCTTGATTTCCATCTGTATAACCATTTCTCAAACTCATTAATAATTCATTAAGAATTTACAAAGGAAATTAATGTTTAATGAGTGTTTGGAAATCGGATGAAGCACTGCTTAGTATTTGCATCCTTAATTTCTCCTTCAAAAATGATTTTGTTTGAGAAGAAATACCAAACATTCGACACATGTTTCATCACCAGATGAAACACCTCGAAGTTCGTCAAAAATACTCCGCTGCGCGTCGTATTTTCAACTCTCTCCTCGGTGTTTCATCTGGTGATGAAACACTGCATCTCATGTTTGATATATTACTTCAAGTATAAGAAGATATGTTTATGCGTTCGTATGCTAGTTCTCGAGTGAAAAGAAAGAGCTTTTATAGAAAAAGTGAACTCCAGCTGTTTTGTTGATTTCCGGCGGCCATATTGGTGCACCAAAACGGTGCACCACTATGGCGTCTCCATACAAAGCTGTACGAAGGTGCGTGAAACGTTTCGGCAAATAACTCAGAAACTTTGGGCCACAGAGACCTGAGACTTGGACAAATTGTTTAAAAATTAGTCTTTTAAAACATTTGATTTTCTTAGCTTCTTCCACTAGACGGTTTCCAATTTATTTTTTTGTTGCGTGACAGTGAAAACGATCTATATGTTATCAATCTGTCAACACGAGGGAAGATGACATTCCGGAAGTGCGTGACGCGTAACGCGCCGGGAAAGAAATTCCTGGTATAATTGTTTACGGTGCAAGTCTGTTGTACATTCGCATAACATCTCGCACCTATTCAAACTTGGTTAGTGGCGCCTGTGGCCCTAGTACAGTAATGCTGAATGTATTGCGATTAAAGAAAAGATGCCGTGAGTCACTTGGTATGCTCCTTTGTTAGTCACGTGAGTAGGTATAATGATAAACGGAAGGTTTTCTGCATTTACGTTAGGTCTCTTATTTTGATCCACAAAATTGGCGCATGAAAATAAGAGTTTTTCATCACCACCGCTAAATGTTTGGTTCCGGGTGTCGGTGCAACAAATCACGTTGTACCGTTCCAGAACAGCGTTCTGACTGCTTATAAAAGGGTCCATAAAGGCACATTGATTGATGACTCTGTGTGGCCTCAAGAAAATGATATACGCAGACGTTTTCTGAGCGACGAAGGTGCAACCTCCTTTTTCTGTTTACACTCCTTTTTCGTTTCGAAAATAGACGAGCGCGCGACAGAGAGCCCCTTGCGCTAGCTGTCAGTAAATTCCCTGCGGTTTTATTTTCATACGCGAAATCGACGAACTCCAAAGAGCTAGTTGCGAAACTACCCTGCACGTTTCGGTGTCTCAGCGACGCACCTTTGTAATGTCGCGAAAAATCTTTTAACACAAGAAACGGCAAAGGATTTTCTTGAAAAACAGGGTTTGTTCATACTCAAATTCCATGTACCGGTTGGGTTTTTTTGATGGTGAAGTTAGTTCAAATTTGCCATTATTGAAAAGAGCCTAAGCCGTGTTTCTTCTTGCGGCCAACACAGTCACATTTATACAGCTTGTCTAACTGATAATTACTCAATTATAAAGTACAAGTCTTTGTTTATTTTGTGACTTGATTTCATTCAGAGATATTATCCCGTTTTTATGTACGAGCGCGTAGAAAATGCTTAATTTTCACTAATTTCATACTCGAAAGAGCACCGATTTAGCGTTTTCCAAACTTTGCCCAATTAGTGAAAAAATAAAACGCCGTTACAAGTTTTATGATGTGCAGGGTCAGGATCACGTGATGGACCCGTTCAACCTCAAAAGCGAAACAATAGGCCGGCCTTTTGAAATTTGCCGGGTTTCATAACCAGTTCCCCTCTACTAACTATGGTGTACTATAGAGATTATTTGGGCAAAATATGAAGAAATTAAAAAAATCACGACTGTCAACTGATATTCGAAAATTACGGACATTGGCTCTTCATTGTTTTTTACTGTTTACCGTTTCAACAACAGGGAATAGGGAAAACTTCATGGTTTGACTGAGCGAGTTGAAAATGTACAGCGAGCAAATTAAGGTCAAATTAAAAAAGTTGAGTTCAACGGATCTTGAAAAGCTAAAAGACAAGTGGAAAAACGTTGTTCTAAAGGAAAAGTGTAAAATTTTTAATTCAAATGTAAAATTCAAGTGTTGAATTTGAAAATTTAAATCAGCAATTTAAAATTCATACCATGAATGTTGCGGGGATCGTTCGCCATGGTTTCGTGCTTCGCGCAAAATGCCGCGTTCGCCTCGCTAAGAACCCTGTTATGACGTACCTGATGTATTGTGGGTATTTTCAAAATGGCGGTAGTTTTGAGTGATTTGTGACTTTTCCTCCATAAACCTTCTGATAAACCTGCCAGCATGCGGTTTCGAGCGAAGATTGTGGACATCAATTGCATCCAACATTTCACGCGTAAGTAGTGTGACTTTTTCTTTAATGTTTGTCCGGGTAAAAGTAACTTCGGGAGTACAAATCAGTAAGCTAACTACGTAAGACAAGATTTCCTACTCTCGCAAATCCCCATAGAAAAGTAAAGTATAACATTAATAAGGATTTTTTTTTCTACCAATAATGCATCAGAATGCATGAGATTGTTAGACTTTCAACTGAATGATTTTTGAATGTCGGATATTATTTGAACTGTGGGACCGGGTGAAGAAATGAAAGCAGGGAAGATTGTCACTCTATAGTTATATTAGGGGTCATCGACGTATTCACCTGGGTAAAATTCCAACAAGTGACAAGGCCTTGAAACAGCAACATAAAACCAGATGAAATGACCGCAAATGACATAAAGATGGGTAAAACACCATCAGCTAGATATCTTACCTCGCAAAATGCTACTTGGAATGTAATTATTTCTGTCAGCAGCAATTGTTGTATTCATGCAACACGTTTATGTAACCATTTGAAGAATTCAATTTTGAACTTTGTATGGACTGTTGTTCTGAAGCTTTTTATCTCTTAAAGCTTCAGTCTTGACTAGAAATTTTTGAAAGTATTAGTTTTTTAGCAGAGCTGAAAGAAAAAGAAAAGTCACTGTGAAACTTTAAATGGAAAAGATTATTTAAAAAATAAATTAAACATCATTCCCTGTAAATCAAAAATATGCAAAAATAATGTAGAATTTGGCTTTCCCTACATTGGTCTAGTACACATTATTTAGCCTTCTTTACTGCTTTTTGTAAGCTAGGCAGGGTGATTGAGGCCTGATGAATTGGATTTTGTAAAGGGGATCTACAATCCTGGCCAAAAGGGTTTGGGACACCTCCCCTGTTTCAGTTGGTTTTGTATGGAATTTGCAGCTAACCTGCGATACACACTCATAAACACGGCCTTAACAAGATTCCCCCCCCCCCTAAACAAAGTTGAGGTCCATAAAGTGTACAAGGTATATAAAAGGTGTTTGACTTGTAACATCCAACACTGTTCAGGAGGGAAGGGGGGTCAACATGAATTACATTTTCCTCACCTAAAACGCAAAGTGTCCCAAACATTTTGACCAGGATTGTCCGTGCTACAAAGCTATCTTCTTACTTAAAAGAAAAGGAAATATAGAGATATTTTCTTGAATACCAGGTGGCATAAGAGCAAAACAGAGCAGAAACATTCAAAACCACTCAAACCTTAGAGATATATGTTCGTGTGTAGTTAAAAAAATGGTCATTTGCGCCTTTTATTTAGTACACGGAAATTACGATGAACTGCTACAACTAAGTAATGTGGTTGCTTTTAATCACAATGACGATTACAACAAGCAGATCGCAGTCAGGTAAAACGACATTGTCTATATCCCAGCACCTGTTACCTAGAAACTTTGGTAGCAAAGACATTGATTTCCCAAAGGATTTTTCATTCTTTAGGCAACATGAGTCTTAGCAAAAGGCGGTGTCTGTGAGTTGATGGATCGATCAAGCTAAATGTCAGGTTAATATTTTACTTTACTGGCAATTCTTCCATAATTTTTGGAAAATAAATACCACCGACATTATCCGGTGAATTTGCCTCCCTGTCCGAGATTTTTTGCCAAACTTACTCTGGACAAGAAATAAGAACATGAAACTTACCGCACAATATTTGCTCAACTCATTGTACATCACACATGCAACATGACATTCTTTGACAGTGCTCCATGGGAACTTGTCCTTTTTTTAACTCTAAGCAACTTTATGACGATCATTTAAGCACATAACTTTGACGAGAAAGCTATTTTCTTGTAATCTTTGAGGAAACCTTCATCTGACAAGGTGAGAAAGTTAGCAAATGCACAGTGCTCCACTCATCATTTATTAAGAGTTTATTATAGGAAAAAGTTTTACTAACAGTTCAGTGGAGCACTGTTCAAAATCCAAATGGAAGATGTTTATTTCACAATACTTACCGCAGTTTCTATAGTATAAATTGTTGCTTTTCTTATGAGGAAACAAAAATTTGATAGAAACCTCCTTTGGAGAAAAGGAAAATAATTTACAAGTGGAGAACTGTGGTACGTGACTATGGAGCATCGCGTGCACGGAAGCTCAGCAACTGAAAACATGAAAACAAGGTTTCACAATGAACTTTATTCGATGTAATTGCATCCCAAGACGTAACTTTCAGTAACAAGGTTTTTCAAGTTTACAACCAATATTTGATTCATACATTTTTAGATGCAATGATTGAATTGCTTCGATGTACAATGAGACGTCTGAGACCAAAATGTATTAAATCAAAAAATATTTAGAATTCGTTAAAGGATATGGTGTTACATTTGAATACGCAGGGCCTTGTCCTGTTATATCTTTTTAACAATATGAAAGACAATGTTTCAACGAGCTGTTTTTAAACAGTCTTTGAAGACGAATTTAGTGCAGCTCAGGGCTAGGGCGGATACCGATGTAGCGGCTAAATTCAACTTGGGATGGATCTTTATCTGTAAAAAAGAGGGTGTTAATGTTCCAGCTCTTACAAAACAACCTGGAAATTTCTCTGTCAAAAATAGATGCGAAGAATGCATTGCTCGGAAAATCACACCTTTGCTTTAATCAAGAGCTACAAAAACATACACTCTTTCCTCTCACTGGCTTGTATTGACTCTACATGGACTCACGCTTTTGTTTCTTCTCGCCGCACTGATTTCCCGGTAGCTTCATGGCTAGATTTGTGGCTTCATCTGATTATTTTCCTTCTCGAGTTTGCCGTTTTCATTGAAAATCCCTATCTTCTACCAGTCTACCTGCTTGAATCAGACTTAAAGCCCGCTGAACTATAGCCGAGATATAGCCCAGATGGTGTCCCCGCCTGTCCTTTCTCGTATCATTTGGATGACAAGTTGGCCCTGTGGTGGTTTATAATATCATTTATACTGTGAATACTGTGATTTTACATGGTATCTGTATTTTAAGTGAAAAAGGGCCACTTGGAATACTTTGTGGTATAGTCAAAATAAGATTCACCACGTACAGATGCAGATGCCGAAACCAAGAAAAAACCTCTAATCCATTCCAAAGTTAAGACTGTAGGCTGTGTGAGCCCCAGAACTTGTAAATATTCATCCGAACATGCTAAAATTTCAACACTTTGGACATCTTTGTACTAGCCAAATTTGAAAAATGAAAACTAATAACATTTGGAAGTGATTTCGGAAAAGTAACTTTTCGGACAATCCTGGCCAAAAGGGTTTGGTAGGATGGGGGTGGGGAGCAGGTAGAAAACTCTGACCAGATCAAGGGAAAACAATGCCTTTTGTGTAATAAAGTCTGGTAGGTATGTAAATTTGGTGCTTGAGGAGTTTCTACCTGCCCTGATTTGGAGGACTTGAGATGAAATCCATCAGAAAATTGAGTAACTTCAATTTTCAGTGGACAAAAACCTTGTACCAGAATAATTTAAACAATATTGCATTCTTTTTTACATCATCCTCTTGATTATGTATTGATATATTGTTAAGACAAAAATCACTTGTCTCTTGTAGGATTGACCCTGCATTGTAAAATGAAACCTTTGTTTGCTTTGTTTTCTTTTCGTCTCATTTCACGCCATGTATTTTTCTAGTGATCATCTGGAGAGTGTACTTGTGATCACACATGCATACATTCTTTATCTACAGAAAGGCAAAGAACTTAGAACTTAGTAAAAATACTCCCAAAAATGTAGATTGCTATTATACGTGTTCATCTGCGTTATGGAACAAGCATGAGGTCAAGATGGCTGGATATCGGTCAAGTCCTTTTTTGTGTTTTTATGGACCAGGTTAAAGTTGAGGTCGATTAAAAGGCAAAAAATATCAAGGTTAATATCCAGTCAAATTGACTGAACAAACTTGGTCAAAGATGGCCAAAAAGAGAACTTCGTCTTGAAAGACCAATGCAGGAAATCTTGAGTGTGCAAGATGGGCCTTGGGTAGCCGATCAGATTAAAAGATTCACTTCATTTTGCTTGCTCGCGGATTCAGAGGTATCAGTTAGCATTGTGCAATCAATTGGGTACATTTTTGTACCTTAAAATGTTTAATGACTTGAGTGTTGAAGACAGACTGAGGAAATTTATGTATGAGGTCACTATACTAGCAATATGAGAGTGTGGTCGTAAGCTCCAGGGTGATAAAAGAATAACATGAAAGTGGAAACATTACATCTGTTCAATAATGGATGAATGCTGACCTTGTCATTGAAATCAGAGGATTATTATTTTGCTGTATGCATTGAACAAGGTCTATTATTTAACATTATCGTATCACAAGTATTTATTTTTGGTGCTACAGGGGTGCTAGGAACCATATCCCGCATGGCAAAGATGTGTGCCTTACGACTGACACCAACAAAGCTGTACTTTATTCTGACTGATAATGCTGCTGTTGGAGGAGTGTCAATCTGGTGTGAATTAACGCAGGTTAATAGCTATTGATAAACTCTGTATGTCATTTTGTGAGTTACAAGGATTTATCTGATCCTTTCCAGCTTTGCTTGCTCTAAGTTAAACTTTGTGAAATTGGGAGGTCCAACCCCCTACCCTTAGGCTTATATTATATACCATATTTTGCGAGAAAAGATACCCCTTCTTGTAACCTTTCCGCTGATTTTGTTACATATAGTTATGGTGAGGCCTGGGACTCATCTTGTGAAAAATGATTAGTCCCAGTCCAGAACCAATGAGTCCCAGTTCAAAAGACAATGAGTCCCCGGCCTTTTGAAACCACCTGTAGTTAATCTGAAGACAGACTCCTAACTCGGTATTGCAGTTTACTACTTAAAAGTAAAAATATACTCTTTCTATTGTAAAGCACAACAAAGACCAAAAGAAATACAGACTGTAAGCATTGTTTACCAACAGCAACAAGAACAGCCACAGAAATCACATAAACAGGATCATGACTCTTTGCATCCTATGGGACACATACCACATTCAAGTAGAATTTTAGTTTTCTGTCAAATCTGTGGACTACATTTAGATCTTCTTGAAATTGACAGGGATTGAAAGGACTTGCATCCCATTCACATTGATGTTGAACCCTTCCACCCGCCCTACCCACAATAACAGAAAAAATGGCCAATTTTAGGAACACATTTGTTCTGCAAATGTGTTATAAAGTCTATGCATTCTACTCAGTATTTTACCCTGTTAATCCTCAGTATCCACATTTAAAATCTCCAGACTTATCTCCACACGTTACCTTGACGAATTAGTGGGGAAAATGTGCCGGGTTGTCAGAAAGTTTTGAAGTAGATGACTGAGTTTTTTAAGCAGCCAGTCGAGGGATATTTTATTTAAAAAAACGCCGTCTGTAAAAAAATGCCAAACATAGTAGCTGGCCAATACTAACCAAGTAGGCGGCAATTTTCGCTGGCAGCCGGCTACTTTTGACAACCCTGGAATGTGATAAAAGATCAGAGCATTTTTGAACTTTTCCTCTTGATAATGTATTCATATTGTTAAGGTCAACAAAGTTAATGCTGGTCACCCTAAGGACTTCAAGGGTTAAGCTCTGCAGAGGCCTCCTTTTGTCGTAGGGAGGCTATTTTTCTATTGGTATATCCAGTGGAAGCCTTTGCGGAGGAGAGAGGTTAAGTACCGAAAAGTTGGGCTTGCCAGGTTGAAATGCAGATCTACACCAGTACCGCTTTGAAGTCTTGTTCTCAACAAATTGAGCTACCCAGTCTGCATAGTTTGTATGTAAATGAAACATGCATTTTTGGTAGTTCTTTTGCATATTAACGTACACATTAATGTACAATTGTATTGGGGAACAGAATGCAAAATGCACTGTCACTCAGTTAATAAAGTTCAGACTGTTTCTGCTCAGCAGCATGGTTCCCTGTTGTGTTTGACAATGTCCTTAATATGTAAATGATTTTCAAGACTGTTCTTCATTTGTTTTTTATTTCAGAGTAATTTCTTTGATGAGTACCGCATTGAAGGCAAAGATGAAACCAACAACATATATCTTGAGTTGATGCCAGAAAATCTCACAAGAGCGATGAAATCAGCTGCCAGTGCACAAGCAGTGAAAATAAAGCTGGCAAAGAAACATACCCCATGCCTGACATTTGAGATTACTTTGGTAAGCTCCAACAACAAATTTTGTTACAAACTCAAATGTTAGATTCCAAGACAAAGAACTCATTTTCATTGTGACTGATGTATACATTACAGGTCAAAATTAAATTCAGGTTAAAATTTTTTAACCTAGGTTGATTCTCATTTTCCTTTTTCTCCTAGCCCTAATTCGTGAATAATCAGGGTTAGGAGATAAAGAGAATTGAGAATCAACCTAGGATAAAAGATTTTGACCTGGAATGTAATTTTTACCTGTATCCTACATGTATACATAATGAGTGGGTTCTGTGCAATAAGACCGTTGCAGGTTTGCTGAACAGGTGACCTATCTCAAGTAACTTTTTAACTTGTTCAGTGCACAAGGGTCTGGGCATGTCATCCTCTAACAAAATCATTGACCAAGACATGCCAGAAGTGGCCCCAACCAAGCAAAATGTGATCTAGCTGATTGCCCAAAGGACAAGCTGGAATTGAAGGTTTTTTAGCCCTGTCACGTATGCCAAAGGTAAAGTGGGATATATGACCTTAAAAATTATCAGAAACTGAAAGACCGTAAAGTAAATCATGGATCTACCAATTTTTAGTTTGTAAACTCGTAACAACTTGTTATTTCAATGAGGTTTCAGTTATGTTATGTGTATCTGTTGAAAAAGTCACAGGACTGCAGACCCTGCAATCAAGCAAAGAAACATTATAGCTGCATGATTACAACATTCATGAAAATAATTTTAGACAGTCATCTGAAAATTGGCTTTCTAACGTGAATGTGAGCTGTTATAAAACGTTGCAATTTGACAGCTATACATTCAGTGTACTTGTGCATACAGTAAGTGGATGCCAATAAGGCTGTCAATAAAATGCAGGTAGATTACTTACTGACAACCATGAATTTGAGCAAATACAAAATGAAAGTGGTCTGAAAAGACTAGTGTAATTTAAATCATTGGAAAGCAGGGGACTACGAAAAGAGTAAGGTCCTTAAAGACTGTTGATCATATTTGAAGTTCTCTTTTTGTTTCACTGGGTAGAAAAATTTAGTCTTCTAGGAGAATCTAGCCAAGTCGAAAGCACTCCATCATTTGACAGTAGATATTTTAGCTACCCTCATGTTTCTGACTGGATTGTTATTTTTCAGCCATCCCTTACCAGTCACACAAGAAGTGTGGTACATGATGTACCAGTTGGTGTTATTCCTCAGCGGAACTGGGAAGAATATGAAGAACCAGCCATGCCTGATTTTGATGTGAGTATTTAGTATTGCATTTTTTAGTTGGCTCCAAGACGACTCCATGATTATTTTAGGCTCTCACACAAGAAATAGCGTTTCTAGGTTTCACCATTTCCCTTCCCTTAGCCTGCATGGCAGGTGCAAAAACGGGGATGGGGAGGATGGGGAGTGAAAGAAAACCGTGAATGGGTAAAGGTACTTTCCTTTCCTCCCTCCCCCCTCCGTTGACCACCCCTCCCCTCTCGAGCCCCGTAACAAAGGCTACCCTCCCCACAGAGGGCTTGATTACCTGCCATTTTTATCCCTTTGTTTCTTCCTTCATGCACAGTGTGTGGTCAAAGAAAAAGTGTACACTGGACAATAAAATTTTTCTCTGTTAAATGCTAAGCAATAAACAGAGCTTCGCAACAGTGCAACCAAAGAGGTTTCATTTATTCTTTCTTGTTTTCACTGATATGCTTACTCAGTGTTTGTTGTTATTCAGGTAAGCATCTACATGCCATCCATGAAAGTGGTAAAAAATGTAACTGAGAGAATGAAGAACCTCAGCAATTTTCTGGTCAGTGTTTGTATTTCTTACTGAGTTGTATCAATTTATAACTACTCTTAATTTATAGCGGAGCTTTCGCGCGCGAAGCGCGCGTGGCGGAGCCCCATTGCTAAGATAACTTGGTACCCTATGAAAGCAAGAAAATTTGGTTATGACGTAGCTTACGAACGTTGTCCGTCCGTACACCCACCTCATGTAAGCCGATGCCAAATGTCAGGTTATTTTGGCGGGAAAGCGCATGGCCGCTCGCGTCTTGTGAAGCAACAACTAAAGAGTCCATAAAGACGAAGACAGAAAGCGGAAGTTGTTTCTGTATTCTGTTGTCTAAAGTATTAAGTTTAGATTAATTGTCAAGTCCACAAATTTGGAAAACAGAGAAAGAGAAAGACAGAGAAAAAGAGAAAGTAAGGCGACAGGCTAGCGAAGCTCAACGACAAAAAGAGCTAGAGCGAGACAGAAAAAACAAAGGAGACATTTTTTGTTGGAGGAACAACATGAAATTTTGTAGCGGCGGTGACAAAATGAGAAATGCTAGCGGCCACCTGGGTGAAAATGAGCGACAGTGGAAAAAAAAGTGAACAAGAGCACGTAAGACATTTCCTCCATAAAACGTGTAACCAGAAAGCTTCTGGAAGTTTCACGTTGTAGTCGTGCAAAACATGGGCAAAGAAATGTACAAAGAAAGTGTGCTGCACGTGCAAAGTTGCTTTTTTGCTAATTAGACCTATTGTTGTTTTTTCACCGTTCTCGTTGCCATCGCCGCTTAGCATTTCACGATTTTATATTTTGTTTGAGCAAACTATAAATATTGTTGGGAGCTTCGCTTTTAGCCCTGGCTAAATCTATATATTAATTTATCCTACTTTTTTCCTTACATGTACCGCAATAACCCTACCCTCCAAATAGAATTTGCTCAGTTGTTTTAAAACTGTTTTTCATTGGTAGATACTCTCCGCCAATCAGAATGGTTATATGACTCTCGGAATTGAGACTGACTCGGTAACAGTTAAGACCCATTTCAAGCATCTGGACACACCTACTTGGGGTATGTGGACAAAAAAAAAACTTAATCTATATGGAATTGTGTACCTTCAATTGATATTAAGCGGTCACCGTTGGGGAGTCGTGGCTTATTGCCCACGTATTACAGTTTAACCGTTTAATAGAGGTTTGATAAAATTAAGTGTTATCCAAGAAAAATTAAAACGGTGAAAGAGCGAAATATCTATCTCATGACAAATTGACTTCAAAGTATTTCTACCTCTGCTTGTGAAACAAAGGGAAGAAAAAATAAAATCAAACGCCATACACCGTGCAAGTGAAGACATAAGCAATAACTCTTTGAGACTTCGCCAAAGGTAACCGCGACTGCTTAATACAGGTCAGTTTTACAGTAATCAAGGGAAATAATTCAGGTGTCGGGATTTGGCAAATGACCGCTTCATACAGGGTTGACTGTAGTATCTATCTAATTGTCTCGGATAATGACTACCACACAGGCTGTCCAAACGTCACTCACCTCCCTTCAGAAATGAAAATGTGCCAGAGGTGGTATAGTCGTCTTGTATAAAAACGGTACTGACAGTCTACACGTATCCGTTTTTGTTCGAAAACGGAGTTTTTTTCTCCAGTTTGGCCTTCCGTCCACACATATCCATTGAAAGCGGTCACCGAAAACGTGTCTTAAAAATCGTTGAAAACGCCGTTTTGCTGTACTCAAGTGGATGGGTGAAAACAAAGTTTTGTGAAAACGATTACATGTACGTCACGCTGTTGGATACCAGTAAATGTGAATGCTCCAATCAAAGATTGTACCGAACCGCTTTTCATTCACTATTGCGTTTTCGTGTGGACGAGCGAAAATGATTAAAAAAACGCAACATGTGGACGACGATTTTTGGAAGGCGGAAATAAGTGTCAGTTTTCAAGCAAATACAGATACTTTATATTCAAACAATTGGACCCAAAATGAAAAAAAAAAACAACAACCGTGTAATAAGAAGCTAGAGGTTGCTACTGTATTTTACATTTTCTGTATATTTGGTGGGGAAAATTTTACTTTAAACGTATTATACGTTGCTGGGAAACTGCCTACCTACACCTCCCCTAAGCCAACATTTTAAAACACTTACTTCTCACTTAGCTTAAGGCAAAATTTTGGCTTAGGGGAGGGGTAGGTGGGCATTTTCCCAGAAACGTATAATGATCCAAATGCATTACGGAAAAGTCAGGTAATATTTTAAAACTGATACCTTTGGCACCTATGGAATAAAAGTCGTAAAGGGCCTGCCATGGTCGGCCCGGCCAGACCAGTTCCCAAGTTCGTAGAAAGAATTCCACTATTAAGACAGATCAGCCAGATCAAACTCTTCTTAAATCAGACGCAAAGCTGTAAAAGAACTTCAGCTCTCTAAAATGCCCGTTTTGTTGTCAAAATAAAGGTCCTATCTGCCAGTTCTGACTTTTACTAGGCGCTCGTAGTGAAACTGACGGGCAACAAAAACGTGCAACTTGCTTTACAACGTTGCTGAAAAACGAGTTGAAAAGCGATGTTGCGCATTTTACCACCCACGTTCAAACTGTAAATTGTAAATATCTTATTATCCACTCCCCTCAGGTCTTTTCAGGCATAATTTACAACACTGGTTGGGGGACTTTGCCAGACTGCGTAGGTGCAGTTTACAAGTAATGAAGGAATGAGTAATGATCACCCCCATACATGAGTGTGAACGTGAGATTGACCACTACACCAGGCACTACGTGCCGTACTCTTTACGAAGAGTGTGTGGGTTCTTTAACGTCCCACAGATTTATTACATGTGCAAGGGCTTGTGAGACGAGGCCTACGGTTTATCGTCCTTATCCGAGAAGAAACCTGTTAACAACCTGATTTGTTGCGAGACAGGTTTAATGTGGATGGTTAAACGCGCAACATCGTTGTTCAACTCCATTTTGTAGCAATGTTGAAAAACAAGTTGCATGTTCTTTGTTGCCCGTTTTACTGTACCTTGGTGGAGGTAAGTTTATTTGCCAGTGATTTTTAAAATCTGCTTATTGTTTATTTGAATTTGTAGAGGGCGATTCTTCGCAAAACCACAACCATGATCCTGACAAGATGGCAGAGGCTAGAGTCGATATAAAAAAGTTGGCGACTTTTCTTCACGGGCAGCAAGTTAACCCAAGTAAAGTCATATGCAGTAAGTATATAATATTTTTTCTATCGTTGAATGCCGTGGTTTACAACTCGAACTTCCAATCTGTACGTTTCTACCATTACAGTGACGGTACCTGCTCGAATGTGTAGGGTCCAAGCTTAAGGGCGGATTTCCATTTTCGCGTAAAATTTACGTACGTAAATAAAATTGAGGCAATGTATGAAAGGTCGCGCGTAAACGTTAAAGTTGAGCGAGGTTCATCTTTTACGTTTACGAGCGACTCTTCATACATTGCCCCATTTTTACGAGCGTACGTACGAAAAAATTACTGTGGAAATCCATTTTTGCCGTCAAGCCAGCTTCGGCCAAGTCTTGCTGTCACGCTACTTCGGAGCCTTGCTGTCACGTTACGTCGTTCCCAGGTCCTAATAGGTTGATATTTATCTGCGCTTATAATTTTTTATGAGGAACGTCACATCTTTATCACTCCATTGGTTTTCACCCCACTCTGCATTAACGAGCCTATTACAAGGTTCAATTAGAAGGCGTCATTCAGCCAGCTAGAAAATCTGACAGTGAAAATTTAAACTTTGTCTCTGTTGTTATTTTTTTCTTAGATATCGTCCATGGGAAAGCTGTTCAGTTCCTTTTGCTTCATGAAGACCTTTCCCTTCAATATCTCATTCCAGCTGTTTCTCTTTGACGCTGATTGTAGTAAGGAGCAGAAGTTCACTTAAAGTGTTCACCAAGTCACAGCTTACTGATCAACCCCGGCTCCTTCCCAGGTCCTTGGGACGGCAAAAGAGCCGGGGAAACTAGTAACCAGGTTGCTCATTGAAACTCTTCATACGAATGAGACGGTTGGGATAACTCTTTGGGCAGCGGATGTTTATGAAGGCAAGAATACTTTTGGTTTCCAGTCGCCTTTTGCGCCCGACTCTTCCAACCAAGGCTGTTTACGATGAAGAGAGTGAAAAACTCTTTGAGTAATTACAAACGAAAGTACTAAGCTTGAACGCTATTGTTTGGAGCTTTATCCTATTAACAATGACGCATAGTGGGGAAAAAACGTACGATTCCTGTAAAATTGGATTGTTTGCATGGGGTAAAGTTGCGGTCCTAAAATTTGTAGGGAATGCCAAATAAAACTCAATGAACTTCCTTTGCACTTAGTTGTTTTTGTTCTTAACGCCCACACGAAGTTTCATAATATTAGCATGCTCAAATTCTCCCTCCATTCAACATAATTGACAAGGTAGGTGGCAACAGATGATATCTCAGACGCCATTGCTCCCTTTCTAAAACCTCGTTATTTACGAAATTTGAACTCCAACGGTAAATAAACCCGCTAGGCTCTTAGAAATTGAACTGCCCCAGATTTGGAAACCAATCAAGCTTCCCCAGCTAGTGAAACAACTTCAGCAGCCTAAGAGGAGAATCCAAACATGGCCGATTCGACTTGCGCCGACTTGGGCTCCCTGGGTAGCTTACTGGACGTTACTGGCTTAAGGTAAACCTCTTTTGCTGGTAAAATTTGCTTGAGGGCTATCGTTGTACTCCATACCGGCCCAACCTCGTTCCCAGGGTTCTCTCCTACCCACCTTAGGAGAGAACCCTGGGAAAGAGGTTGCATACTGGCCATACATTTCGTACGTTATCGTAGGAAAATCGAAAGTCTTGTTTTATCAGCTACATTGGCCGATTTCTATATCAATTTGAAAAGTTGCCGCCACTCTTATCAAATTTTCTGCTGTCTCATTAAAAAATTGAAAAAGAATATTACTCTTTTCCTTAAAAAGACAAGTTTTAATGTGTATTTAGAAGAATTCTTTAGGTTTATAATTTACTCAATTACTTTAAAAAGACGAGGCGTTAGAGTCAAGGGCGCTGTTTTGAGTAAATGCCGTATTTTAAAAAATGATATATCTGCCATTATACACGAGTCTCCTTTGTTGGCTATGGGTTGGACATGACCATTTTCACGAAATCTGGGGATAAAAAGAAAAGTAAAACGGTTAACATTATAAGCTGTCACTGGGACTTCTGTTTGCTGGTCTGCTATCTGTTTTGCTATCTGTTGGCAGGAGTACGCAATGCTGATGGCTGAGATGAAATTAGTAATGACGCCATTACCCTTGGCGCGTGCTTTCACGTGTTTTTCAATTTTTACCGATTGCCTTTTAAAAAGGTTACAGCGCATCCAGTTTGCGGCAGCCAGTTTTGTTTTTGGACGCTATGTGAACAATATTGACTCTATTCTTAAGTTAGGCTGGTTGCCTATGAAAGAACGTAGAGAATGGCACGTTCTAAAGGCAGCGCACAAAGCTATATACTCTCATGATTGGCCCAGAAACCCTCCGCTTGAGCAAGTAAGACATGCTAGAAATTTACGGTCATCAAGTACCATAAATCTAGTTATTCCCTATGCCTCGGACACTTTTCAGTACAGCGCGGCAGCCCTCTTCAATTCTCTGCCATCCAATGTTAAATGCTGTTATAATTTTAAATCCTTCAGTAAGCAAACATTAGGTATTTTAAGGGAGCGCTGCCGAAATAGAGCGGAATAATTTCTTGCCTAGTTTTCAATAATGTATATATTGTATAATTACATTTTACTGTATATTACCTAGCTTTTTACAAATTCATAATTCAGATTTTTGTTTTTTTGTTTTTAATTTCCTTATTTTACTCTTATATCAGGCGAAGAGCCATACCATGGATGTACTGATATTAAACCGTTATTATTATTATTATTAATTTTTGTTCGCGCCCGTTTCCACTTCGCGCTGATTGGCGGAAATCTGAGAGCTCCGTCGACGGTGAGCCACAAGGGAATTGGAGGCGGAATTCAAATTCCAGAGACGTTGTTGCAAGTTCTCCTTCCTTTTCCCACCCCGCCGCCAGAGCGCCTCGGAAAACTTACTCGTACCCAGCCTCCTCGGTTTGAAACTAGGCAAATACCTGCTGTGTGAATAAATCCGTGGTACTCCCCGACGTCACTGAACAACTCATCGACTTCGCGATCTCTAAGCTTGTTGCCTACAAGAACAAGAAAAGAATGTGGTACAATGGTGGGGGTTAAGCACTGAAGTACACATGGCAACTCATATGTATGGCAAAGCCATCGGACCTCTGTAAGAACAAAGCGCGCCTTTCTCAGAGGCCTTTTACTGCCGAGGCGAATGCAAAGCATTCCTTTAAGCGCCAGCTCCACCGTAGACAAGTGTTAGGTGTTGGTTGAGAACCGTAAAACAGTTCTCCCACGGAATGCGTCCATGGCTGCCACTACCGGGGTGATATGGTTGCGCGCATGCGTAAGGTACTGGCCATACCGCGGAGTTGGTACGTTTGCTTCAGTGCTCAAATTGGTATGTTCACTACTGTACTTATTACTTGGGTCCCCTGTGAGATGTCCAAGTCTTAGTTTCAGTCATACACAGGTTCAGCGCGGTCGAACGTCTGAGGCATTTTTTGTTTTGTGTTATTAGGCATTCGCCCGCTTTAGAAACAAGAAAAGGGAACTGGAGCCGAAATGCGTCCCGCAATTGTTTCTGGGATTGTTACTTGGGATTTAATTCATTACATTCGGTAAAAAGCACTTCACGCCCGTGAAGATTATGTTCACAATTGGCGCCGAAAGTATCAGTTTCAAACACGTAGAAGTTTTTTATCAAACTGTGGACAATAAAAGTACTGTGCTTAACTTTTTCAAATTTCCTAATTTGCCCGCGATGAGATCCCCAGGGCTTTTTCCAAAAAAGAGCGATGGGGACGAGGTGGTCTTAGTTCGTCATTTCAATCATTTGTCCACAAGAATCTAATTGGCCACTTTAGAAACGAGTGGGGGCGGGGGACTGGAACCCCGCCATTGTTTCTGGGATCGTTACCGGGGACACTATTTGCTTATTGTTCGCCCGGTCCCTAGCAAGAGTCCCAGAAGTCTTTGCGAAAGTTAACTCGTACCAGTCTCTTCTAGTGTCCAACGTGGCGAATGTGACTCTAATACCCTGGGGACTGGGACCTTTAGTTACTGCCCCCTCGTAAATTAGAAATGAATTGAACCTCTGCGAACAATACTCGAGTACTGAATGTCGATGATTTTTTTCACTGTGTGACACTGACTTACGGGTTGCATAGATAATATCAGATCACGTGCTGATTTAAGGGAAACAAAGAACAATTTTGGCTAGATTGAGAGCTACGAATTACAATAGGGTTTAGCGAGCCGAGAATTAGCTGCGGCATTATTCTATTTCTCTTTTGTCAAAGTATAAGTCATTGATGTATTTAGAGCTCTAGTTTAGAATGGAAAAAACATTGAGACTGTAACATTGAACGCAACTTGAGAGAGAATAAACGCATTTAGTGGAATAGAAAGATACAGTCCTTGATCGTAAACCAGCGCCGGGAAATATTTCCGAACAATTTTTAGCTAAACTGAAAGAAGGAAGGCTCTGTTTACACGGCAAAGGCCAAGTTTATGTTCGGCTTTTCTTTCTCTTCTGTCTTCAGGTAATGTCTAATAATAAGTTTGAAACAAAGAAAAATACATTTAAACCAAAAAAAAAATTTCAACACAAATATACGCCATACGTGGCTATGGGAGCGCCTTGTTTACATTACGAGGCCCATATCTTCGCGCCATACCGTATTTATTCGATTAAACGCGGCCCTCGAATAAACGCCACCCTCGATCAAACGCCGCAGATGGAAGCAAAATTACCAATAGACGCCGCCCTCCAATAAACGCCGCACCTAATCAGAAGAAGTCAGGGCAGCGTTTACTCGAGGATAATAAGAAAAACCTCGGTACAACTTGGTACTTTTAACCATCCAGACATTTACGATTCTATCTTAGCAAAATAAGGGAGACACTGGAACCTTTAAAATACATAATATTTAAAAACGATTTACAATAACTGTTGTCAGTGATTTAAAAAAAAAGTGATTTCGAAATAAAAGCCGCCCTTGAATAAACGCCGTATTGGAAACGTTAGAAATTTAATAAAAACGCTGCGGCGTTTAATCGAATAAAATACGGTACGTACTTACCCAATGCCGTTAGCACGTGACGAAGTTCCCCGGATGATACTTTGCCGGCGCCGTCCTTATCGAACACGTTCAGAGTGTCTATAAACTCCTGTACAGATACTTCTCTGTTGTTCTTTTTCTCCTTCATAAAGATAGGCAGGAACTCTTCAAACGAAACGCGCCGATTTCCTGAAAAGAAAAGGAACTTAAACTTCTTTCAATGCTAAATGATCACAGTCCAGTTTTTCAACTTTCTCTATGTGCAAATACGATTGCAAAACCGTCGGTTTTTCCCCCAAATCAGTTAAGAAATCGAGAGTCTTACGCGCACGAAGCGCGCGAGCCTCACACGCCCATAGGGCTCGCTCTCTGTTTTCAGCCTCGTTCCAGGCCTATTTGTTTGACTGCTCGCGCGTACTTGAATACGCAAAAATACGGACTGTTTTGCAGTCTATGTACAAATACATCTTCGTCAACGTTTTTTGCGTGGAATCTTATGTTCGCGTTAAATTATTAAAGGTATGGAAATCGTCAATGACTTTGCCTAGAACCGAGTCTCGGCGCAATGTTTTAAACGGGAAGTTTCGCTTTTCACGTTGAGCCTTCTTCCTGTTACTAAGAACCAGGAGCGATAGCCCTGCAAGCGAACACGCCAAATATGCGAGGAAACATAACAAACTACATCAACAAAAATGATCCTGATGACAGAGATATATTTTCTTTCGGTTCCAACCCGACGAGTAGGCAAAGGTTACATTCCATCAGTGAAAAAATAACAAGGTAGTTTAACAGTTGTTTAAAGCAAAGTACAAGGCTTACTTTGTACGAAATCATTCTGCCTGCTTAAATTTTGCCCTGTATGCGAGATAATTTCAAGATTACGCCGCAAATCAATTAAGGCGATTAGTATGAAATTACTGAAGGGGTACGACTGGCAGCCTCCTTAAAAATAGCCAGACTATACAAAGTTGTTTACTCATTTTTAGGTGTTCTCTCCTTGGAGGCTTGAATGTCTACAACAAAAGAGAAACACTGATACGTTTTCAATGGAGACCTTACCAAAAGCAATCAATTGTGAAAGATAAGATTTTACAGCAGGTTATAACAAATTACTGCCAGTTTTAAACAATGGCTGTTTTAATGATCATCCTTCTAATTTGCACTATCGATGCCCGGAGGCAGAGTCTTAATAATTTAAATTCGGGCAGTACAACTTAATACCAGAAAACCTTATTTTCTTGTGTCGTGTATGAAACATAATCTCTGAAATTATTTGTCTTCTACATCATGCTACATAAGCGAGCAATCCTTTTTTTTTTATTTTGGCGATTTGTTTTACTACATGTTCAATTAAGCGAACGTTGGTGCTCATCAGCGTGAAGGAATTAGGCAAAGTTATGATAACTTTAACCTTACTCTGAAAAGTAAATCAAAATGATTGATCTTCTGTAGAAGTCCACAGATGTACATATTACCAAAATAACAACACACCCATTGTGCATTTGATGGCTTTTTTGTCTTCATTTGTTATTTTAAAACCACATTTCAAAGAATAGTTGTGTCTTTTTGCTGGCTACAAAAATGCCTCAACGATTTTTCGGTTTACGCTCACGGTCCAATATATGATCACAAACGTATTTTACCGACTGATATCTTTGCGTGACAATATAAGAAAGTTTGTTGCGAAATAACTTGATTGAAACATTTAAAAAGACCTTTAAATCCTTTGACACAGGAAGGAAACTAGGCAGTATAAACATATAGAATAACCCTGGCTGAGCCTCTGTCTGAGCGTCTCTTGTACAATCGCAGTAGCTCAAACCTATTTCCCATTTGTCTGATCTACAGTAGATAGCTAACCAAAATTTATCTTTACACGAGAAGAGAGATTAAATGGATCGGCTATACGAAATTATTAACTAGTTTTGCAATTGTCATATTTTAATCCGGCATCGCTGGCGCTACTACAAAAAGAGTGAATGTTGATGTAGTATGAAGATCCCCAAAATATTAATCCTGAGAAGTGCTACGTACTTGAAGAGCACTGCTGAAGCGCATACCAAGTCAGGTTGATAAGTAAAACGGACTTATGACTTACCGACATCTTTTTCAATCTTGCGAATATCTTCATCTTCGGGGTTAAGATTTAACGAGCGTAGCAACTTTCCGATCTGGTTGCAGTCTATTTTACCGTCTCCTTGCTCGTCAAACAGGGCGAACGCATCTCGGTATTCTACGAATAAGGTAAAAATTACATTCCAAAAAACTCACTTCGATAAATTGAAGAGAAAATTAATGAAATCACATAGTTACCATCCATTTCGTCTTGAGTTGGTTCAGACATCTTTGCTATGGGTGAGATGATGTGGAACAATATTCTGTGCGTGTTTGTGTTGTCTACGTGCAGCTGGAGTTGTGTGATGCCTGATGAATCAAATGCTCAATTACACAAGGAAGCCCTGGAATCACAGGGTGGGGTCCTTGTGACATCCGGATGAAATTTACTTAGGGTGGGGTAGGTGGTTTGAACGGTATCATAATTAAAGGAATCTGACTGATACTTGCATATTTCCCTAATCCTCCCCTCAGAAGTTTCAGCATGCAGTATGTTATTGTCTAATCACTTCGACTCCCGCTAAGGTGTCGACTTTTTTTAAGCGACGAACGCTTTATCTCCTGAACGATTAACCAATCACAGGAGCCGATTACTAATCGGCTCCTACAACTCAAAACGGATTTTTCATGAAAGTCTAGCCTGGCTTTCTTGAACGACAACTACTTGTATGGTCATTTTAATGTAGTTAAGCATGATAAGAAATTCTTTATAAACCGTGTTAAGTTACAAGTTTGTCGCGGATGAATGTGTCTAGAACACCAAAAAAAAGCCTTCATCCTTTCTCACCATCTGGGTCTGAGGAATGATAGAATATTGATTCTAGAATTTGCTTTACTAAATAGAGGAGTACCCTCCCCACGAAAGCTGGCAAATGCTTGCGCCCTTGAGAAATGCTTGCGGATAAGAGTGGGTTTTACAGGTTCTTCCTCAAGCATTACAAATAATAAAAATACTACTACTACTACTACTAATAATAATACTTCAACTTTATTCATTCAATTTCAATTTACAATTTCACGATAGCTTCCATCCGCGTATAGGAGAGCCAAATCGAGGCGGGGGAAGAGACACACAAATTTAAAGAAAGGAAAGAAAAAAGAAATATTTCACAAACAGTACCAGCTGTCGCAAAAAGAAAACTATAGTTATAATAATAATAATAATAATAATAATAATAATAATAATAATAATAATAATAATAATAATAATTTTTGAGGTGAGAAGCTTGTAATCGAGACTTTTTTTACATGACCAAAATGATCTACCGCCTAATCACCTCTACATAACCACCACAATTTAGATGTTTTTTTTGTCACTTTCTCCTCTAAACAGCTTTAATAATAGTTCTTTGTGTCATTACGTAGTTAATGCGTAACCGCGCTTTGTGTTACAAAGAGAGGCTGCCTGCGTAGTAGACTAGTAAGTAGCTAAGCATCACGCTCTTGCCTCTGACAACAGAGCTCAGAGAGACGGAGAGAAGAGAGGTTTTGCCTGCGAGCAAGCTCTCCGGGGTGCTATTGCGGAAGGGCGAATCCTCCCTTCATATAGCCTGCGTAGCAGACGCTTGGAAGTAGTGGGCGAAAGAAAGAACGGGCGCGCGCGAGGGAGACACGCGAGGTCCCTCTCCCCTCGCGTGTCTCCTTCTTGCGCGCCCGTTTTTTCAAGTGCCCACTACTTCCAAGCGCCTGCTATGCAGGCTACCCTTCATGCAAGTATTGAATCTACTGGCTGGGAGTAGCTGTAAAAAAATAAAACAACAGAAAAGCTATTGTTATTTGAATAACATAGCTGATTAATTCAAGAGAGATTATAGTAAGATTCAACATATGGTTATCACCAAAAGGAACGGGATTGCAATGATTTACACTATTTTCACTTGATCCTGGGTAATCCTGGATAAGTGTCAGATTTATAAAGATGCTCACGATAACCCTTACTTTCCAGAAGAACTTTATCAATTTAAGCAGGTCTCATAATAAACCAAAACAAAAAACCAGACTAAAACTGCATACTATTTGATTCTTGTTTAATTGCTTTGGGACCTGCGCCAATCGAATGAAGTTCTCGTCAAAAGTAAAGGTTATCGTCATTGACAGGGAATCAACTCCTTTTTGGAAAGGCCAGGGGCTCCCAACGTCAATTTTTGGAAAATATCTGTTCGGAAGACGATTTGAGATCTAGCCATTTTCGGAACATTTGTTGTAAAATTTCTTGCTTGCCTGCCTCTCCTTAACCTGCGAACAGCAGACGCATTTCCGGTCGTCGCTTCCCTCCCTCCGAAAAATCTCCTAGGATTTTCGAACATGTGGGTTTACTTTAGAAATGTGATTGATGAGAACCGCTTTCATAATTGTGTACGTGAATCAGATCGGGAAAGCCCCTTTAGGTTTCAGTCAACAATAGGAATTACTGAGCGGATCAAGAGGGTAGAAACTGCATTGAACAACACAGTAAACAATGCTCATATTAATTCGATGATTTTATTTGCAGCTGCTTAGATACAATTAGCCTGCGAATGGTGTGGAGCGAGGAGAGAAGGCTGTATTCATAGGCAAAGATACTTTGAAAACAGTAATGCGTGACACAAGGCTCAACCTGAAACGTATACAGTCACGAAGACACGAAGTCTTATTATTCAATCGGTACCAAAGGCCGTTGGAAACGTATAAAAATACAAAAACCATGAACTGGAGTGAAACCTCACTGAGCTGAGATCAGCCTCTACTTTCATTTTCCTGGGAAAATAGATTCCCGGCCGGTAAGGCGAATCGAAAAGTCTCATATTTGGTACAGTACTTGTGCACCCGAATTACGTGTGCTTGCGAATCGAATAATGATTGTTAAATCGCTTGCATGTGCATTCACATAATTAGAGGGTCTGAATGGGGGGTCCACTTGTTGGTTGTCGGTTAAAATTTAGTTACTTTGTCGGTCGGTTAGAATTTTCGATCTTTGTCGGTTGTCGGTTAATCTCAGTTAACAAGTAAAAATGCATGTTAATTATTAATATTTGTTATGCGTTTCAATCAGTTTCAATACTTTGATCTCTATAAAACATGTATAACTTGTAAAAATGCATCATTTGATTGACCTTAAACTTCATTATGCAACATGATAGTGTATTTCATCAAAGCTTTTAATGCAAATGCGAACTTGGTTACCCTGTGAAGAGAGGTTACTTGGACACAGAGGGAAACGCCCACTCTAACCTTTTGGATATGTAAATTCTTTTTGGTGAAAAACTGCAAGGGGTGACAGGTCGCCCATCTATACCGGCGAGAAACCGTGTGTTGACCTTAAATATTTTGGCTCTAACAAGCATGTTCTTTGCCATGGTTTGGGGGTTTTCCTTTCTTGTAGGAAATAAGGGGTGGTTCTTTAGAAAATTAGCAAAGTAGAGGTTGGTTTTGTATGAGATTTCACTTTTCCATTAAAGCTTCCTTTACAGTAGACACTAAGGGCTGGTATTGTGTCACGAAAGGCAATATTTCTTTTCCTTCCTTGCTCGGTTTTGTTTCAGGAGCGCGGACTTCGGTTTCTGTGAGTTTCATTTATTTCTGATTGCAATTTCTCTATCAAATTGTGTTGGTAGCCTCTGGCCATCATCAACCATCAAGCGTTCTTTTGAACTTTCCTCAAACTCTTTTGACAAATCGGTGGGTGACAAGCCGCAAAATGTGTGCTGGATGGTTTCCGTAGTCTTTACATCAAGGATAACTTTTTCGTTTTATCTTGTGCCTTTGTATACACTGACTGTGTCTAAAAACATTATCTCAGTGAATTTCGGTGGTGAATTTGATAGTAGGATGTTGTAAGTTTGCTGGTTTAAAGACGGTTTAGCTTAGACTTTGTGTTACAATATATGACATGAAAATGTTGGCAGAGGAAACTGCTGTCTTTGTGCCGATCGCGGTACGCTGGGTTTGTAGGTAGAGCTTTCCATTTAACTGGAAAGAATTTTCTTTGAGGATTAATCTAAGCATTTCTCGCATAAAATGTGTAGGACTAGGAGGGTTGTAGAAATTTTCATACGCCCTGCAAACCTCGTTTTGTGGTATTTTTGTAAAAAGATTTGTGACGTGGTATCTTTGGTTACTTCCTAGAAAGGTAGAAAAAATACAATATACTCTTCTTTCTCGAAAAAACATATAGATAATGTCGGTCCATGTCGGTAGTCGGTTAATAATTTTCCTGTCGGTAGTCGGTAATTTTTTTCGCGTTTTGTCAGTAATAGTCAGTAGTCAGTAATATTTTTTGCCCTTTGTCGCTAGTCGGTTAACCCCATTCACACCCAACACCGCGGCAAAACGTCTACGCATGCGCCAGGTTGAGCATTTCCGGTCTCTTTTTCAGTCACACTTTCCAGTCAAAGTCTCCCGCGCGCTTCATTCTGTGTGCAGATTGTGGTTCAGTTGTTTTGCTTCATGCTGCCCGTGTTTTTGACTATTTTGTATTTATTGAAATTGCTTTTATGGATAACCAGGCACAGATCACTGAAACAATTAGTCGATTAGATTCAGAAAAGGTAAGATGATAATAACTGTAATTTTGGCTAGAGCGTCAGGTAAACTGATTTTCATTCACGAAAACAAAGTTTTTGACTGTTATTTTTCACTTAACCCTGCTGAAACTATTAAAGACATAAAAAGTTATCATCGCAAGCTTGTGTATGGCAGTTCTAATTTTCAGTTCTTCAATTTCTCAGTCTTCAGCCGATTCGAGTTTTATTTGAAAAACGACAACGCACAATCGATTTGTAGTTTTATTTACCAGTGAGTTTTACCGTGTTTTGAAACTCTTTTGAGTTGATTGCCGTGAAATTTAAACTTAATTATACTGTTGAGGATGGCAGCAAGTTGACCACTCTATTTATTTTTTTCATTCTCAGAATCAGAGAGCGAAAGCTGGTATGATGGCCGGGCTTTTAGAAGTCGAACTTTTCATGCTATGTATTTAGCAGCTGGAAGTTTCGTGTTTGCATGAGATGCAGCCGAGCCGCACAGTCTGAAATTATTGAAGTCATCAACCAAAGAACAACCATGTAAAAGAATTAAATAGGCATTTTCTTGAATGAAAGTCATTTATAGGCATGTTTAGTTTCCCGGCACTGAAAGCTCCGGGTGTTCGTGACTGCAGTCATCAAAGTCGATGTTGTTATTAAATTCCGCACATCTTTTGTTTTGAGTTCTTGTTTTGCCTGATAATAAAAAAAATGTTGAACGGACTAA